TGTTGCATTCTTTTCTGTTAAAAATAACAGTGAACAGTGGTTTGTGAATGTTGATGCTTAGCCTAAATTATTTTATCGGGAGCGTTAATGTGAGCGCAGCTGCAGTCTTAGGCCCACCCCAAATGCTCTCATTGGTTGAGACGCGTGATGACACCCATCCCAAGCCAGTACTGATCAACATCCCACCCCACCTGTGACCCATGGTTTGTCTGTGTGTGTATTCAGAGCCAGTGAGCAACGGACTTTCAAAATAATAAAAAAAACTGCATTAATGCGCAATAAATATTTAGTATTTTCTCATAACACATTCAATTTTAAATTATAAAAAAACGTATGAGGACTGAAACCATTAGTGAAAATGTATTGTATCTTTCCAATTAAATGTTTTTTTAAACATTACATGTTGTAAATTTTGAAAAACTAACCAAACCCTAAAAAAAATTTATTTTCATGGTTTTAATTACATTTTAAATCTCAGATTTTTAAGTCTAAAACTTTTGGACCCCACTGTATAAAATACTACTACTCAGTGTAATTCAACAAAATATTCTTGTGATCACTGTTTTCAACTCGTTTCTGGTGTCATTGGGATTTAGAATACACTGATCTGTTTAAATGCTGTTTAATGTCCTCACTTTATTTGAAATCTCATTTTTGTGCTCAGTACTGCTCTGACTGTTGGATAGGAAAATTTATCATCTAATGTTATATTTCCCTAAATGACTAGTTAGCCTCTACTTATTTGTAGTTTGAAGTGCTCAATACTTAGTACAACTTTATACATACAATTTTCAAGTTACTCATAGGTAACGTTTAAGTCTTTAACTCCGGTCATGAAATGTTTTGAACTAAAGCAGGAAAGCTTTGATATCAGCAGAGATCGGCATACTAAACTAATCTCATCAAAATTAACTGGCATTCCGTTTGTCAAGATGTCAACGAGCTTGGCAAACACAATCTGTGAGATTATCGCTGATAAAAGACTAATTTTAGCAGCCAAACCAGCTGCAAAAGACTTGAAACTGAGCTGTCAAGACAATTCCAGGATAAGTGTTTTGAGTGCGGGACACGAGGACGCTCTGGGACACCAAATGTCAGTTGGCTGCAAAATACCTTGTAGAAGTTAAAAAGGATTTGCGCACCTTTTTATCTGGCAGGTTGAACAGAAACTCCCGGTCAAAGCGCCCGGGCCTCCTGAGTGCGGGGTCGATAGAGTCGAGTCTATTTGTAGCACCGATGACCACTATCTCCCCCCGGCTGTCCAAACCATCCATCAATGCCAGTAATGTAGACACTATGGAGCTAAAACATAAAAAGAGAAAACAAAATGACTAACCTCGTCAAATGTAAAATGAATAGGTGTTGACGTGTGAATGTGGGTAGTACATCAAACTCTTTAAAGGAGCAAGAAAAATCTTGTTTTCCATCATATACTCCTTGTAATACCAAAAGCCTTTGTGTGGAAATCATATCGAACTACTTGATTTCTTCAGGAGCTTTTCTAATCCTGATGATGAAACCTTCTGCAATCCCCACCGCATTAATTCGAATGCATTACCTGTGAATTTGATCCTGCCTGCTGGAGCGAACAGGAGCGAGGCCATCAATCTCATCGAAAAAGATGATGGAGGGTCTCATGAGGTATGCCTGCCAGGGCGAGAGGAAAACATCACCTGGCTTGATAATCACACATCTAACACTTCAAAACAGCTGGAGAGAGAACGCAGCCTGACACCTGTTTTATAGGGATATATGATTCACTCCAAATCTAAAAATACAACTTGTGATACACTACAAGAATCAACAAAGAGGAAAAAGAAGCTTTAAAGGACAAAAAAAAATCTGAAAATATCTGACACCGTTTAAACAAAAGGGTACAAGTAGACAAAAGCAGATTTTTTTTCCTTTAAAAAATTGTAAAAGGTAGGTTCAGTTATGCTGCATAAGCTATGATAGATAGATAGATAGATAGATAGTTTTTCACAATAAAATGTATTGAAATCGAAAATTAATCCTGGAACTTGTGATTATTGTAAGGTTATTCGATGACTGAATAAAAAACTTATTTGAAAAAAAAAATGTATAGAAATCCACTCCTCAAATAAATATAAATTAAAATAAACTTTATACTTTAAACTTTATAAATTAAAATTTTCAGTAGTGGAAAACTTAATATTTTCATGATTTATATTAGATTTTAAAGATTTTAGATACTAGATTTTCAATAAAAGACTTTATTTAATAAGTATTTTTTGACTAATAATAATAATTATTATTATTATTAAGGCTTGTGCACACCAGGACGATTATCGCGTGCGATTATCGCCGACGTTTAATGCCTCGTGACTAAACAAAGGGCGCCAATGTGAGTGTACACACCGACGCGCAACCTGCAAAAAACACTTAATTTAACACTTAAACATTTTCAAATCATTAACCCCAATTTTCTTTTACATAAAACAAACATCCAGGAATGTGCAATATCTGGTCATCAATAAATATCAGCTCACAGACAACAGAAACTATCTCAAAGTCATACTAGAGCCAGGATTGTGAGGTCGTCTACTAGTTCACCTGGTCAAAAAGTAGGCGGAGCTGTCGTTCAGACTCTCCCACCCATTTGCTGAGGCAGTCGGCGCCCTTGCGCATGAAAAAAGACACCTTCCTGTCACCCTGACTGCATTCATTGGCCAAAGCTCGCGCCACCAGTGTCTTCCCAGTTCCTGGAGGCCCATAAAACAGACATCCTCTGCAAAGCGGGGAAAACATGTTACAAATATGTTAGTGTCAACCTCTGACAGCACGTCAACGGATGCAGATTTAAACACAACTAAAAAATAATCATATACTCAAAAAACCTTACCTTGGGGGTTGGATCTTAAACTTCTCAAACACTTCTGGATATAATAAAGGAAAGACTACCATCTCTTTTAAAGACTGAATGTGATGGGAGAGACCTCCAACACTGTCAAACTTCACCTGCATTGAAAGAGACAAGGACATATGCTAACCCACAAAGCATCTTTTTCCTCATTGTAAATCAGTAAAGAAATGTAGAGAAGTATAAAAACACTCAGACTCACAGAAGTGTCCAGATTCATGGGATCCACATCTGCCAAACTAGCACCCACTTTTACTCTGTCTCGAAGCACACCGCTGGCCAGATCCTCTGCCCGCAGGTTCATGGGTAGACACCTGTCACACAATAAAAAAAAACAAGCAACATCAAACCTTAGTAAAAGTTCACACACTTTAGCCATGTAATAAGTCACACATTGAGTGAATTAACAGTCGTTCTGTGTGATGACAGCTTTTGTGTCACCTGTTACGAGCTCGGCTCATGCTTTTGCTTTTCCGCCTCTCAAAGCGCTCTTCATCAGACGATGATGTTGATTCACTACTGTGAATGGCATGTTTCTTTACTCTGGTGATGAAAACACAGCAGTGTTGTTTTAGTATCAATTAGATTCTCTTATAGTTTTTATTAATAGTAATTATTTTATATTAATATTTGATTAAAGGGGTCCTATTACGCTTTTTCACTTTTTCAACTTTAGTTGGTCTGTAATGTCGCTGTTTGAGCATAAAAAAGATCTGCAAAGTTACAAAGCTCAAAGTCCACTTCAAAAGGAGATATTTTATTTAACAGAAATCACTTTTCAAAAACTACAACAAACGACTCGTTTGGACTACAACTCACATTTTCCGGGATTTGTGATATCACAAATATCTACGAATGGGACGAGACCTGGTTGAGCTGCACTAGAGAAGACAACGAGTGTTATCACTATGTCGGAGACACGCTAGCTTTCCCAAGGCAGACGAACTTAGAGTGGTTACAATCATCTGGGTTTAAATCGCGCTCAAATTGATTTGATTTTGACGCAATATTTACACTGAAGCTCGCAGGCGGCTACGGTAAGGGGCATGACATTTCCCGACCAGGCGCCGAGTGGAGCCAATCACAACACACACTGGCCCAGCTAACCAATCACAGCACATTTCGTATTTCAGAAGGCGGGCCTTCATTTGATACAGGAACTATTCGAGCCGTTCATGCCAGACTGGGGAGAGAGGTGTTGTAATAATCTAAAATATGTGAAAAATAATGTGTTTTTCGAACAACCTAGTATGAGAGCATGTTCTAGTACACCCCCCCCAAAGCAAAATCAAGACTTTGTAAAAGAGCTTAATAGGACCCCTTTAATATTTTTAGTGTTTAATTTTACATTTTGTTTTAATTTTAATTTTAATTTAAATTTTTGTAGTTTTGCGGTGCGTTTTTGTCTTTTTTTTTTTTTTTATATGTCTATACGGTTCTATTATTTTTACTTTAGCATAAATTCTAGTTTTTAAATAGAACAATTAATTTAAAGTTTAAAATTACAAATTTAAATAAAAGAATGAGAAATGTTGTCTTTGCAACTAGCTAAAATTACATTTTTAAAGTTAAATTTTTAAATATATTATTTTGTTTCACTTAAAGTGTTCTTTTGTAAGAAAAATATCCATATTCAAAACTTAATAATCACTTTATCTTGCGCCAACAGTTGTACACGGAAGCAGTTCCGGGCTGATGAAATATGAGGTCACTATATATATATACTAGGGAGTGGAAATGGCTAATAAGCCTATAAGTACTTCTCTGCAGCCATCTACTAGTGATAATTTAATGTATTTTTTTTTTTTAAATAAGTGTTTGCTTTCATTATGAAACTTTTAGTTTTATAAATGGGGCAACCTATGATAATGTCATCACATTAAAAATAACTTTCAAATTCGGTAATACTTAAAGCTTTGAAGTGCTGGGAAAGGTTGTGTCAGGCATTTAAAAACACTCGAAAACATTAGACCATTTCTGCCACAAGTTGTTCCTGTAGTTTTACTATGTTAAATCCATGGGGAATGGTGGTGATTTGTGTTTGTTGAACAATGTTTTTCCTGGTTTCCACATCAGTGGCATTTGTTCTGATATCTGTAGCTTTAACAGAATTCTGCGCCGAATTTGAATGCTTCTCACAAGATTTCACAGAGATGTTATTGCTTCTGCGGCGAATTCGACTGCTTTCTTCACTGTATCTCCCAGCGCTGTGTATAAGGGGGTCGCGTGATCGAGATCAGCCCGCGGCTCCGGTCCGAGCGCGGATTCGTTCCGCTTTCGGTTCGTTTGTCCAATGTAGCTCTTGTAAATCGGTCATGATGAGAACGCAAGGCTGTTCATCCCATTTTTGGAACTAAGAAACAACCTTTCTTTGACTGAATGCGCGTTGCGATGACGTCACGGGACGCGTCTAAGCCCAAAATCTGCGGCAATTACGAAAATTTGCAAGCTTTTGCGAAAATTGCAGAGTTTGCTTGATTTTGATAAATTCAGCGATCGCAGAATCGCAAAATCCTAGAGGGACTGAATAAAGCAATCAGAATTTGAAAATAAAATGCAAATATAGAATTTGAATATTAACAGCTGCTTCATTAATCCTCTTCGTCCCAAGTGAGACATAATATTAGCAGCTGCACCAAACTGTATATAGTTGCTCAGATTGGGCCTCTGAATAAAACTGAGGTGTTTTTTTTACCTCTTCATGCTTCATATTCTCTATATCATACTATCGGAGCCATAAAAGCTTATAGGAGCCATAAAAGCTTGATGTACCAAATATGATACTCAACAAAAAAACATAGGCCTACGCAAATTTCTGACTAGCACTTCATACGTCAGGCTTCACAGGGTTAATATGGAGGAGCGTCATTCAGAATGAGTAAAGCAGCTCAAGCCATTCATGTGCAACACCAGCAGGTCTCCTCTCTCAAATACACTTCCACCATCTGTCTTTGACTCGCAGCAACATGTTACCTCACTCTAAAAACCTGATTAGGACACAACCCAGTAAATCCATCATTAAAAATGTATTTCAAAATCAACCTCTTTTTAATACACAGCCAATAGAATCATCATATATAAACATACATGATTATTTGAAAAGATGAGTTTTGTTTTTTGAATACCCAATGCAAAGAAAGTGTCAATTAAATCAACTTTTGTAAACCCAGCCAATCTATTCAGAATGAAAGTGTCCAAACTGCAATATTGCGTAATAACTGCAAAGTCTCTAATGTGTAAACAAAACGATTTACACACTAAACCCAGCAGAAACTCCTGCACAACCCACATATTTTTAAATGCTCCTGACAAACATCACTACCTGCAATTCACAACATCTGTCAGCTGCCTGGTGTTTTTCCTTGATATTAGTTGAGCATTTATGAACTGTTCAATGCTCTCAACATTTTCTCCAATCCACTGTCAATCCCACAATCCGCCATGCTCTCATAGGAATTAACTGAAAAATACTCTTCATCAATATCAAACCACAAATGCGTGTTCAATCACACGTTTTGACGGTTCTAGGGACAATCACAGAAACTTTCTTTGACAGCAAATGTATTATTAGTATAAAAGATCTCCAGATGAGCTGTTTAACATACCACAGAAGCTCAACAAGTATGAAATATCACCCAAGAACTGATACAGGTCCCTAGTAAAAATGTTAACAAAGACTTACAGGTTTAACGAAGCGAGGTCTACATCTTTTCAAGTACAGCTGGAACCTACTTAAGCACCCCTGGGATACGTGTAGCCTTGGCTAGGAATCACCAATTATATCATAAACCATTATGTGCATGAATGAAAGTTGAACAAATGCCGTCACCATACATATTGAGTAGTCTCTTGTAGTCTCTTTTAGTTCTTGTTGAGTTTAAAGTGTCTGTTTCTGCAAGAGTAAACTCTGTTGGCTTCATCAGATGTCCTACTAATTATACACCAGCTACTCAAAACCATGAGGCAATTATAACGTACGCACACAATGTCCAAACAGAACGTGATTTGTATACTGTGGCTCCTAGTGGATTCATGGGGTTGAAAGCTAGTTGGTTTGAAGCCAAAGAAGTCAATCCAAAGACATTTGATGCTCAAAATGCTTATAGACAGACTCTCTCAGACAACCAGGAGTTAAATCATTTGCCTAATGATTTGCTGACTGGTTGGGTCAACAATGAATAGGTGTCTAGACTAGAGATGTTCCGATCCGCCTTTTTCGCCTCCGATACCGATTCCGATACCTAGGGTTCGGTATTGGCCGATACCGATCCGATACCAGTGAAGTTTCCCCCCCATTTAAATTTATATATCTCTGTGTGTGGAACTGATAATCATTCTTTCACAATCTACTAGATACAGACTACTTCATTATAAAGAAAAATAAAATAAACAAATATGAAAAAATATAGGCCTATGTATATTTATAATCTATGACAAAAATTTATCATAAACTAGGTGTGTGGATAATTTGGCAGCAAAAGTTATTCTAGAAAAACCAGTGCACAATAATTTTAGAAATCCAAACATTTAGTGAAAAAACAATATTTTGTGGGGAACAAATAAAAGTTGCACTAAATATGGTAAAATGTTACACATTGCTATTTGTATTATAAAATCCATTCATTAAAAACATTCATATATAT